TGCATAACTTGCAAGGATTGAGTGTTATCTATAAACAAGACTGAGCATTTTACATCTTAATAATTTAAGAAGAGCCTTAACACTGTTAAGTTGTCATGAGATTTAAATGCAATGACATGGGAGGAGTAGCAGTAAGAATGACAAAAGAAACATCTGCTTAAACTCAATAAACTGGATCGCTTGTAAACTTTAAGTGGACTGGCAATTTTTGTAGCCTTTTTCATACCACATTCAATAAAAAAAATTCAAAATAGAAATATCTGATACCTACCTAGCTTTAAAAATAGAGATTTGGCATGCTCAAAGAAGAGAAAGAAAAAATCTTTTGAACTTCAAATATTAAAGCAATTCAAGACAGGGAATTATATTCAAATGGATTTTTTCCTTTTTATAAAAATCTCTAGACCTTACAACTTTAGCATTAGCTTTTTTTTATTTATTTTTTATTTTTTTTTAGCACTACAACCTGTTTTTCAAATAAAATAACACAATTTATGTTCCAAGAGACGGACTTAAAAAGCAGATATCAAGAAGAGGTCTTTGTTTTGGCAAATATTCAACAACATGCACAATCACTTCCCAAAATCAAATAACCGTAAAACACACCTATGAAAAAACCTATTTGAAGAAATGTCTATAGATATTTTGTGAATATTCAAGCCCATATCTGACTCCCAATAAGTATCATGACCTTTTGCAGTCCATAAGCTTTCTACTAACAGCAGCTATAAGCCTATTGTGTTAACAACAGCGTAACCTGAACTGGGATAGGAACAATGCTGTATGGGCAATAACTGTCTCCTATTATATAACCTTTACAAAACTGACAAAGAGGAGAAAAGTCACACAAATACATAATATGAGAATGAATTAAAATTTATATATAAAAACTATCTTCTTCCATGGGCTTGCCAATCCACTGTCCGAGACCAGCACGAGCAAATCCTGAAATCATGGCTCTCTTGCTTGTCTGAAAAGAAGGAAAGAAAAATTCTAATTACAAGTAACATGGAACATACACAAGGATAGAGAAGAAAGGCATATTTCTACAACCTACATTTTGGTATAAAATACAAAAAGATAAATAAGTACACCTGCAAACAGACACAAATATAAATACATTCAACACCTTGGGAGGGAGGGGGGTCAGGAGGAAAGGAGGGAGATACGGGAGAGAAAACAGATAAATAGGCAGAAATGTTCTTTATATAAAAGCCAGTGTTAAATGGGGGTAAATTGGACCAAGTTTTTACAAATTTTGATTTTTTTTTTCCATAATTATAGAAACATCTTATATGATACTGATCTGTATAATTCAAACTGTAACTTTTTGATTAGCATACTGAGGAAAGTGGACCATTACATGGGGAAAAAAAGTAATTCATGCCACACTCCTATTCCTGTGTATCAAATTGAAAAAAGTTCCATTCAAAATTAGCAAACCTTATAAAATATTAGGAAATAAAAGGCCATTAACCTTTCAGCAGACAAACAAAAAAAATTATTAAATTTTTTTCTAATCAAATAATCATCTTTCCTCCTGTCTGTTTAATAATTTTCTATCTCCTACTTCAGCACACTCTTTCTTCCTCTCATTACCAGACACTACAGGTACATGTGTCTCAGAGGGAAGTCTTACTTCCTCATCATAGGCTTCTTTCTTGCCACCTCCAGCAAGCACCCCTTTCTCTATGTGGTATTTCTTCTGTGCTTTCTCCTTGACTGTCTCACCCCTTGTATTGCAAAGTCAACCTATTTTCTCTCTATTCCCTATACCCTCTATCTTTTCAAACCTCTTTCCACTGCCTTTCTTCCTCTTCCTTTTTCTTCTTTACTTCCTCTACTTTATCACTCGATCACTCATGACAAACCTTGCTTCTGAAATCATTCTCCTTCTGACACTCACTTTTCAGAGATTTGGCTGGTTTGTTAAAATTGCGCTAGGTCTGACCCAATGATCTTTCCTTTTATGGACATGCATATACACAGAAATACATGCGTGCCTATCAGTCTAGATATGCATATCTACAGTATAGATATATAGGTAGATGAATATATAAATATGATACATAGACAGATATGGAAGAAAAAAAAAAAAAAAAAAAATAATAGAAAAATAGAATTTTTTTTTCTATTATAGTATTAAAATAGTAGAGTGTTTTTCCATTTATGGAGAGATACGCATTTATTTCTGTGTATATGCATGTCTGTATATATGAATATTCATTGGGTTGGGTCTCGCACAATTCTAATAAACTGGCCATTTATCTCTACATTTCTTACTAGGCTTTTACCAAACTGCAGCTGCAAGGATGTGACTATAATCAATGACTTGGCACATCTTCTGATGGAAGAGGTATTTCAGGGCTAAGTGAATGGAAGTTCATGGTGCTGCAGGGCCAGGATTTTGTTTTGACAGGTCTGTTTTTGTTGAGAGTCTGGGTTCTGATGTACCTTGACGAGGAAAGGATTGAATGCTACTGTCACACGCTAAGGGTATTATTCCTTTGGTTGTGGAGGCCAGTGTTCCTCAGACAATTTTTCTTAAAAGTCACTTTACTCTTCTTGTGTGGGATTTAAAATGGTTTGTATATACCCTGGTTTTTGTTACTGGGATAAATACTAACCTAAACAGAACAACAAAAAAACTAGACTGTGTTTTTAAAGTTAAGGACGAGGAAAAGTACTCTATTTACACTCAAATTTGCAAGACACTCCAACTTTACCTATCACAACAAGGTTCACCACAATGAGCCAATTCAATCAGCAAGTTTGCCAATTTTGTTGATATTTTCATCACTTTTATTTCCCATTCTTTCATTTCAATATGTATCATTTTCTGCACTAACAATTGCATGAGAAAAGTCTAAATAGTTGCTTTACAACATGGATTCTCCTATATCAGCATCCCAATACAGAAGGTGGTCCAAATTAGTCCAGTCAATTTGAAGGTCAAATTTCCTCAGTAGCAGCTACCTCGCAAGTGTAATTATCACATTAAAATTTGACTTGTTGAAGAAGAAAAAAAAATTCCTCATGACCTCACCTGATACTTATTAGATAAAGCTTTAACTTCCCCATAGGAGAGGTGCTTGGCTGCCCCTGGATCTACTTCTGTCATGGAAGGAAGGCGTTCAATAAGACTCATAAATCTTGTTAAGAATTTCCTTTTGCACAACCGGGAACTGTTTTCCCCTTCCTGTCGGCCAGTCATGGCATTGAGGACCTCAAGCTGACTTTCTTCTGCAAAAGGAGCACAAGAAGCCCATTAGAACCAAAAAAAAAGACATTTCATGAAACTTAATTTGCAAAATCAAAAATTTAAAAATTAAAAGAATACAAAAACAAAAAGCAAAATTGATGTCTTCAAAAGTATTCACACAAACAAAAAGAGAGAAGTGTGCCAGACTTTTACCGCAGTCCCAGTTGACAGATATGGTAGGGGCTTTCTGCGGCTGTCTCGATTCTGTTGAGCTACCCTGGTTCATTCTTGGCTGGTTTAATCTGTATGGTGGTGGCAGTCCTTGAATAGTTTGTTCTATTCTCCCACAGACAGCCCTGGTAAGAAGACGAAAAATGTTACTACAGGAAATGGATAACAAATACCATACATAATATGGTCACAATGACTCCACAAAACTAAATATTCAAATATAGATATTTTTTTCTTAAATAATATCCTTCTCACACTGAGATCTCCATTAACCATCTCAAAGGATCCCTGGATGATGAAAGATCGAGGTAAAATAAGTATCATAAAAACCTAGCTATGTTACTACCATATGATCCTATGCTTCGTGTGTGGGGAGAGGGATATTCGTTTTTAAGCTGCAACATGCAGTTTAGAAAATAAAATGGTAATATCTTACCAAACTATTCATAGTCATTTGCCTATGATCACTGTTTATCACACAAACAAACACCAAATGAAAATCATCATTGCCTTACAAAAGCTATTCAATGCATTCTTGTGTATGACAACTCACCTGTACATGTGTGATGCACTGAATAGAGAACCTATAACAATGGATTCCAGATAGACTGGGTCTAGGAAATGGGCTGCCAGAGCTCCCTGCAGACCAACAATATTCCAGCGCGCAATCTTGTCTGAACATGACATTGTGCGTAGACGCTCACCCTGAAGTACTCCATCCCAGGTTTGGATGTTGTCAGCACCAGCCTGGATATAATATAAAAATGGGAATAAGATTACTTGGTTTCTGAGTTACAAACTAGCACTCAGCAAAATGCCTGATGAAGGCTAGTAGTGAAACTCTCACAATTAACAATACAATTCTTTTTGAGCTGAAACTCTACAAAAGGTTTACCAAAATCATAAAACTTCTGGTTTTCCCCCTGCAAACTTTTTCTTTTATCTGACGCTTACTACTAATGCGTTTCATTCACTTTCCCCTTTACTCTTGTTTTCCATTGGTTGCACATGTCGCAGCACTCTTCACTTATAATATACTTCATAATTACTTGCTATGTACCAGTTATTTGCCTTTCATAAAATCAAGATGTGCTATCAAACTATTCATCAAATGTGTTACTACCAAGAAACCATGTATACACAATCTGATAAAACTGAGGTACAATAAGAACATTCTTTTTACAATATTGGGTATTTGAAATGTATATACATATACATATATATAATATATATATATATATATATATATATATATATATATATATATATATATATATTATATAATATAGATACATAGATATGTCTATCTATCTATATTATTATATATCTTTATCTATATATATGTAAATATATAAATATGCAAATCTATCTATCTATATCTATCTATATATGCCCCCCAAATGTGTATGTTTAAGTTTTATTTTCTTATTGGAATTGTACCTTCCCCGGATTCTATCTTTGTGCGTAACAACCCACGGCTTTGCCTATTAGGGTGGCGATCTGTCTGGTCTGCTTCTTCTTCATGGGGAGCAAAGATTCTTGCATCACCACATGGAGCAGTGTTGAT